TTTCAAGCACAAAAATAATCAACAGTACTAGGGGGACCATAAAGTCTTCAAACTTGTGCACTGAAATAATAGAGTTTACAAGCCTTGCTGAAACTGCTGTGTGCAATTTAGCTTCCATTACATTACCACGGTTTGTTAGGGATGAGGTAAGGTACTGAATCTTTTTACGTTTATGGAAAATGTCTTAATAAAGTTTGCATAGCAATCATGGGTAATTTTATTCTATTTTTTTTTTCAGGACGTTCCTATAGAATCACACCCATCTAAGTTGGTTGGAAGCATTGGATCAAAGAATATATACTTTGATTTTGACAAATTGGCTGAGGTTTGTTTCTTATGGTATTTAGTGATCTTGTCCTATTATCACATACATTGTTTGATTGCATTTATTCACTTGACATAACAGGTTACAACAATAGTTACAGAAAACCTCAACAAAATAATCGATGTTAATTATTACCCTGTTGAAACTGCAAGAAGATCGAATATGAGGCATAGGCTAATTGGCATTGGTGTCCAGGGTTTGGCTGATACCTTCATCTTGCTTGGCATGCCTTTTGATTCACAAGAGGTAGTTGCCAATTTTAAGTGATTCCTCAAGGGTTCTTGATTTCAGTGCTATTAAATCAAAATGTAAGTAGCATTTGTTGTCTATGCAGAATCAAAAGCTGAACAAGGACATATTTGAGACAATATATTATCATGCTTTAAAAGCTTCTTCAGAAATTGCTGCAAAAGAAGGCACATATGAGACATATCAAGGAAGTCCCGTTAGTTAGGTGTGTGTCAGCTTCTGCTTGTTACTAGCATTTAAATAATTATTCCATGAAACCTCATATGTTGAGGCATCAATCTTATGAAAATTATCTTGAGTATTCTGACATAATATTTACTTGCAATTCCTTAAATATAAGGATTTTGGTTTGATATCATATTGATAATATGAAAACATCTAGTTAATATGTATGTCATGAGTGGTTCATGATTATATGATTATATCTTTTAATACAATATTAACCTGCAGAAATGGATAAGAGCTCTATCTACTAAAAATGCGTTGGTGCTCATGCCTCTAAGATTGCCTAATCTAAAAATTTTCATTGTGAGCCTTGAGAGAATGTTAGTGACAATGCCCTGGAACGTCCTTTGGGAAAATGAGTGTACAAATATGTGTAGCCTAGATCAATATAAAGTTTCACTCCACTTGACATTATTTATAGTGTTTTTTCGTATGTAATGGTATTCATGTATTTGAAGTTCTGTTATCCTTTTGTATAATATTTTCGATGCTATACATGAATATTTTAAAACTATAACTATTTGTGAATATAATGTCAATAACTATTAAAATCTGTAAAGGCTTGATTTTTTTTTCTATTTCTAAATTTCTATTACTTTTGGCAGGCATGGCATGATATGGATGGAGGTTGCAAGGTGATAGATGGTCAATGGGAGATTAGTTTGGTGCGATGCAGTGGGAAGAAGAACCCAGAGACGTGATGAAGGAAAGGCTTGCAACGTTGATAAGACATAGGCACACTGTAGTCTTTATTGTTCAAGTCTACATAATCATGGTTTATTTCTTTTCTGCTGTAGGTCTTATGGGTAGGTTTTGATTTATTAGATTTGCATTTCAAATTTAGAGTTCGAGAGTGTGGAGCGATGAACCATGTAAACCTATGGTCTAAAGAAGTACAGGCTTTGTAATTAGCATATTGTTGGATTTCTAAAGAAGTACAGGCTTTGTAATTAGCATATTGTTGGATTTGTTAATAAAACATGTGTCAAACACTTGTTATTTGTTTAATAGAATTGCGAATTAGCATATTGTTGGATTTGTTAATAAAACATGTGTCAAACACTTGTTATTTGTTTAATAGAATTGCATTTAAATTTATTTACAAATGTTATTATTTGTTTTATTTTAATGATTGTGAAAATAAGTATGATATTTACGTGGTTATTTTAGCTGTTAATATGCTTTAGCAATGATTAGGATTTCTAACGTGAACATTTTATTATTTTATAGAATTAAAAGTTAATCCTTATAGCAATGGTTGCCTCCCATTGTTAATACATTATAGCAATGGTTGAGATTTGTTGATGTGGATTTTTAGTAATAGCAATGGTCCATACCATTGCTAAAAGGCTTATTAGTAATAGTTTGAACCATTACTAATAGAGCCTTTTGTAGTAGTGCGTGTGGGAAAAAAATTGCATGTGCATAAGGAGGCAGTTACTCTATGTGGACATTGCCAACAACCCTAGCAAACATGTATTGAATTTAAAATTGTGGATGATGGAAAGATGAAGTCAAATGACAAGCCTCAAGGGCGTTGGGAGGATCACCATTCCAAGGAAAATTGAAGTTCAATGTAAAACTTGAAGAGTGTAAGAAGGATTTTTAGTTGTTATGTGATGTTCCTTCATGGTTGAGGCCTAGCTAGTCCCCGTGTGATGGAAAATCCTGTGGACATTGGTAGATTGTCGTCCTTTTATGGTCATCGGTTTAACTAAAAAAAATCAGTTACCTACAAATGTTGGATAGTGCATGAGATTGCCCGTGGAAATGTTATAATTTGTTGGATAACATGTTCCTAATTTGTTTTGGTAATAGGTTATTGGGATTCATAATCTATTTTGGTAACAGGTTATTGCTATTTTGGTAACAGGTTATTAGGATTCCTAATCTGTTTTGATTTTGGTTATCAGGATTCCTAATCTGTTTTGATTTTGGTTTTAGAATTCCTAGTATGTTTTTGGTTTTAGATTTCTATATATATGGAACGTTTAGGAAGAGAGAATTAAAGAGAGAAAAAGAGTCTTTTGAGCATATTGAGAGGGAGATATTGTGAGGGAGTTGAGATCTTTGGTTAGGGTTATATTTGAGTGATTGTGTGAGTTATAACCCGTTGTATTTCTCCTCTTTGGTTAGGGTTATATTTGAGTGATTGTGTGAGTTATAACCCGTTGTATTTCTCCTCCATATAGTGAACTCTCCCCATCCTCTCCCCGTGGACGTAGGCAATTTACCGAACCACATAAATTCTCTGTGTTGGTTTGATTTGTGTCGTATTTTTGGTGATTACACTCGTATTTGGTTTAGTTCTCTTCTCTCATCGCTCGCCGACTCATTTGGTTTGCTAGAACGCTTCCGCACGACTCGCAATAATTGGTATTAGAGCTCCAGGTTTGAGATCTAGGGTTTTGGCATTGGGTGGAGGAAGATTCATTATGGAAGGTTGGTTCTTGGAGTTCTAGGCTTCGGTGGAGATAGCTTTGTGGAGTTGCCATTGGAGATCTTACTTTCCTCGTGTGGTTAGGAGATCGTGTTGGGATTCTATCTAGGGTTCAGTTGGGTAATTTCTCAATTTCTATCAAAGTTTGAATCTTTCTTTATAATTTGGAGTGATTTGCAATGGGAGAAGAAGTTGGTGAAAGCAGCAAGACAATGGTGAGTACAATTCAAGTTGAATTTCAAAACACTAAGATTAGTGTGGTGAAGTATGATGACAAAATCAATTTTGGTTTGTGGATGAGCGACGTACAAGATGCTCTCAATCTCCAAATTTGGAAGAGACCATCATGGTCCATGAGAGGCCACCGAAATACGATGAGACGATATGGGACAAGATGAATAGGAATGATTATGGGGTGATCAGGTCTTGTTTGAAACAAAAGCTGAAATACGATGTGATTAGGATGACGTCTGTGATGAAGATGTGGAAGATTCTTAACAACAAGTACCTTACAAAGAGTGTTGAGAATCAGTTACACTTGCTGCGGAGATTATTCAGATTTTGGATGTCCAGGGGCACCTCACTAGCGGCTCATATGAACAACTATACAAAGTTGTTGTTAGACTTGGCGAACGTGGATGAGAAGATAACGGACGAGTACAATATGATTATCTTGTTAGGCTCCTTACCCGATGATGAGTATGATACCTTCGTGCTTACCTTATTAAATGAGAGATCTTCTATCACATATAGTGAAGTTACTAATACTTTGACGAACTATTTTTTAAGAAGGAAGAAGAAAGAGACTTCCCGCGCTAGTACTTCAGGAGAGGCATTGTCGACGAGAGGTAGAAGCCCATATCCGAGAGGTTGTAATAGGGACAGGACGAAGTCTAGAGGCCATCATCAGTTAGCTAAGAACCGGTATGCGTTCTGCAAGGAACATGGATATTGGAAGAGAGACTTCCCAAAGCTCAAGGAGAAGGAGAATAGAAAGAAGAAGGGCCCGAAGGCCAATGAGGTAAATGTTGTGAAAGGTGATGATTCTGATGATTCGAGCTTTTCTCTATTGATTACTTCGTAGGTGAACCATGTAGATGCATCAGATTGGATGCTTGATTCGGACGCTACTTATCATGTGACTCCCAGGTGAGATTGGTTTGTATCATTTGAGAAACTCGATGGGGGTGTTGTTGTCATGGTAAATGATCAATCATGTGGTATTTGTGGGATAGGTACTATGAGGATTCGGATGCACGATGGAGTAGTCTGTGAATTGAAAGAGGTGAGATTTACTCCTTAGCTGAAGAAGAATCTTATTTCTGTTGGAGCTATGGAGGCAAAGGGATTCAAGGTGACATTTGAAGACATTGTAGCAAAGGTTACTAAGGGATCTTTAGTGGTGATGAAGGGAGTCCGCAGTCGAAACTTATATTATCTGAAGGGGAGCATCGAGGTTGGCCAAGTAGCTTCAGTTATTTTAGAGGCAGACATGAGTAGACTTTGACACTACAGGTTAGGGCACATAGGAGAAAAGTCATTGCAGGCTTTGTGCAAGCAGGGGCTTTTGAAAGGAGTCAAGAGTGGAAAGATTAAGTTCTGTGAGCACTGTGTTCTTGGCAAGAAGATGAAGGTAAAGTTTGGGATAGCCATCCATAGGACGAGGGGCATCTTAGACTACGTGCACACAGATGTTTGGGATCCCACTAAGACTGCATCACTTGGTGGTCGACAT